ATTGAAGTCCCTTAAGATATCTGATTGAAGTTCCGTAAGATATCTGATTTAAGTTCCTTAAGATATCTGATTTAAGTTCCTTAAGATATCTAATTGAAGTTCCTTAAGAATTATGATTGAAGTTCCTTAAGAATTCCGATTGAAGTTCCTTAAGATATCTAATTTAAGTTCCTTAAGATATCTAATTTAAGTTCCTTAAGATATCTGATTGAAGTTCCTTAAGATATCTGATTGAAGTTCCTTAAGAATTCTGATTGAAGTTCCTTAAGATATCTGATTTAAGTTCCTTAAGATATCTTATTTAAGTTCCTTAAGATATCCGATTTAAGTTCCTTAAAATATCTAATTTAAGTTCCTTAAGAATTCTGATTGAAGTTCCTTAAGATATCTGATTTAAGTAACTTAAGATATCTGATTTAAGTTCCTTAAGATATCTGATTTAAGTTCCTTGAGATATCTGATTGAAGTTCCTTAAGAATTCTGATTGAAGTTCCTTAAGAATTCTGATTGAAGTTCCTTAAGATATCTGATTGAAGTTCCTTAAGATATCTGATTTAAGTTCCTTAAGAATTCTGATTGAAGTTCCTTAAGATATCTGATTTAAGTTCCTTAAGAATTCTGATTGAAGTTCCTTAAGAATTCTGATTGAAGTTCCTTAAGATATCTGATTTAAGTTCCTTAAGATATCTGATTGAAGTTCCTTAAGATATCTGATTGAAGTTCCTTAAGATATCTGATTTAAGTTCCTTAAGAATTCTGATTGAAGTTCCTTAAGATATCTGATTGAAGTTCCTTAAGATATCTGATTGAAGTTCCTTAAGAATTCTGATTGAAGTTCCTTAAGAATTCTGATTGAAGTTCCTTAAGATATCTGATTGAATTTCCGTAAGATATCTAATTTAAGTTCCTTAAGAATTCTGATTGAAGTTCCTTAAGATATCTGATTTAAGTAACTTAAGATATCTGATTTAAGTTCCTTAAGATATCTGATTTAAGTTCCTTGAGATATCTGATTGAAGTTCCTTGAGATATCTGATTTAAGTTCCTTAAGAATTCTGATTGAAGTTCCTTAAGATATCTAATTTAAGTTCCTTAAGATATCTGATTGAAGTTCCTTAAGATATCTGATTTAAGTTCCTATAGTTATCTAAGTTGATATAATAATATTGTTAAGTTCTGAGAACTAGGATTTTCATGCTTTTTACATAATCAGTCTGTTATCGTGTGAATTAAGCCATGTGATATTTTTGTTTATATGTTATAAGTGTAATATACCCTTGAGGTTTTCCTTGGCTGTACCAGTGAGAAATTGATTGTGATGTCACTAACATGGACGACAAAATAACATTGAACCATGAATTGAAATAGTGCAATAAAGTGGCTGTCTCCATCAGATTTTGTTTTTCATATTTTTACATTCAAACCTGTCTAAATTGAACTTTTCTGATGAGTCATGCGATAAAAAGAATCTTAGATTTACTTTCATTTCATATAAGATGTTATTAACAGAGACTTAAGAGTTTTATTTGAAGTAGCCTTGAAAACTTACTTCAGATCCTTTAGATATATGAGGATGTTTGTAGAAATATTTCATTTACACTTCAGAGGTATCTCATATGCGCTCTATAAGTTTTCTCATGACATAATTTTGGTTTGTCTTTGATTTTTTATTAAATCATTGCTACAAATATTTAAGATTTTTATTAAAAATTGTGTGTAAGAAAATGAGACACCTGTATCCTTGTAAGCATATCTCTCTGATCACAATAACTTACATGTTCTGCCATGTGATGTGAACATGTCAAACACGTCATAAATCTCACATGTAATTATACTCTGTAGTGATGTCATATCCTAATGAATCACAAGATTGTCTCAACGATGAAAAATGTGCTGCAATCTGTCTGTCTATGTCAGGAAAGGAATAGACTGAACAATGTTCTATTTTATTATCAACCTGAGCAGTTTGATGAATAAAATCTTATGTTCATGTCCATGTTGAATAGAAATAATTAAAATTTGATGTGCCACTCACCTATGTTCATGTCCATGTTGAATAGAAATAATTAAAATTTGATGTGCCACTCACCTAACAGTTTGTTATATAACAGATATTACATCTGCTATTACAGCAGACTCTGATTCTATGCTTGTTAATTGTTTCATATCAAGTTATTTCATTTGTAAAATCCTATATGGTTGTATAAATGCAGAGGTCTTGTAGAATCTACAATAACATGATGAAAAATTGAGAATACAAGATATGAACTGACAGATTAAGATATGACGTTAGGTCGGTGAATTTTGGGTCTCAGTCCTGGACTCATGCTTTTCCTGTGGGACTCACTCAAATTTTAAGACCCCATTATGTCTCTTGCTAATTGGTGATCAGGACTCACCTGAAAAAATCCTACAAAAGTTATAGTTAGGTGTAGAATTTGTTGCAATCTTATGTCAATCATCACAAAGCTCACCTTTTTAATGGGATATAAAACCTAATGATTAATGTCTCAGGTTATAATCATCCAGCCTGTTGCTACTAATGTTTCATCAGTAATGTTTAGTTTACATAGCCTATGGGGTCATGTGACCTTTTCACTTTGATGCTGGATTTGTCGCCCACACACATTACTATGACACACATGCCTTGAAACTAAAATAGCTCTTAAAATTTTGACTAAATTTGATCTGAATTACAGTTTAGCTCAGATATCTTGATTTGATAAATAGGGTTCAAAGAGGGAAATAAAATAAAATGTTTGATTTATCCTACTCTGTAAGCAGGTTAAGGAATTGAAAAAATGATCTTGATTTTCCGCAACAGATAGTACTGTTGTTAGTCCAACATCTGATGATGGTGGGCTGTTCAAATCGCCCTATGTCTGTCATTCATCCAGTCGTAAACAATTTTTGTTATCACTATTTCTTGAAAAGTACTGGATGGATCTTTCTCAAATTTCATATGTAGGTCCACTTTGTCCCTAGTTGTGCCCCTTTGATTTTGGGACTGGTCAGAAAAATAAATGGCTGACAGGCAGCAATCTTGAAATTTTTAAATGAAGATTGTTTTCGCTATTTCTTGAAAAGTAATATGTGGATCCCACTCAAATTTTCTATGAAGGTTCCCCTTGGTCTCTTGTTGTGTCCCTTTGGATTTTGGGTCTGATCAGAAATACCAGATGGATGGCACAGCCAGCTGTCATGGATTTTGCCTTTGCAAGTTTGTTATTGCTTTTTCTTCAGAAGTGCTGGACAGATCTTTTTTAAATTTCATGTATAGTTTGGGACTGATCAGAAAAACAAGATGGCAGACAGGCAGCAATCTTTGATTTTGTCTAGTAAAGATTGTTATCCCAATTTCTTAAGAACTACTGAATGGATCTCTTTCTTTCCCATTGGTTTCTACTTGTACCTGTTTGATTTTGGGACTGATCAGAAGAAACAAAATGGCTTCCAGGTGACCATTTTGGATTTGGCAGGTGAAGATTATCATAGCTATTTCTGCAAAGGAATGTTCAAAATTTTCATCATTAAGAGCAAAACCAGAGAGGAGAAAAGACAGGAAAAGTTCCAAATTTCAAAGAGCAAATTAAGATAAAAAAAAAACAAATGGTGGATTTCAAGATCCCTCTGGGATCTGTTGTATTTTAAATGATAAAACTTAGTAGAAAAAAAATAACTGGAATGGTAATACCACAGATTTAGATATATTTAAGTCAATGGTAGTATGTACAGTCCATTAGTGGAAGTATGACATGAGGCTAGTTAATCAGATGATAGTGATTACAGCTGTTAAAACTTACCTAAGTGAACATGAAGTGACAAGAAATACATATATACCTGGTCATTTTTTGTTTGGGGACTAATGACATCCTTCATTTTGCCCATTAATAAAAAAAAAGGAAAGTCAGACTTATCTGAAACTCTTCGAAAACCCTGTGTAACTCAAAGTGTTCCTCTTCATGCTAAATATTATCTTAGATATGATTAAGTTTATAACGTGAATACTTTGATAATTCAAGAGTTTCTCACAATCCTGTCAACTTCAAGAGAAGGAAGTTTGATTGTACATTTTTATTTCATAACATTACCAGTATTACTTGTCCTTATTGTACATGGATCATGTCATGGAAACAGTTGATATATTCAGCATAACAATAAAACAACCTGCTAGGTATGAAGTTAAGAGCACAATCATGTTACCTGGAATGGAGCTATAGTGTCTATTTTTCCTCATGCACCTGGTATTGTTCATTACTTTGTTTATAGGTAAAAGTATGGATAAGTCCCGAGAAATATTGTTTATAAGTAAATGTATGGGTAAGTCCCGAGAAATATTGTTTATAAGTAAATGTATGGATAAGTCCCGAGAAATATTTTTGATCACATGGACATTGAAATAAGTTTTTGCATAAAGGATATAAAGGGTTTGAATTTCATTTGGTAATTTGTAATCTGCAATTACGTAAATCAAAATGCCTAATGCCATTCTCTTCAGTGCACCTCATTAATTCTTGTTGAGTTACAGAATTCCTTTCAATGTTTTTGATAATGCAATGTTAAAGAAATGAGGTCATTGTTAAAAATTGGGGCCGCAATAGTATACTTTCTAGAGCATGGATGGTGCGTGGCAGGATACTCCTACCCCATGGCAGTTTGTGTTTCCCAGCAGGCCAAGAAGAGATCGATCTGTAATGGAATGGTTGTATACTTGAGCAAGGCAGTTTGGCAGTTAACAGACTTGTTCTTGATGGCATGCAATGAGCCTCCTGTATATTGTTCATTGAGGTAGCCACCAGCTATTACAAGACGACTCGAAACAATCCTGGCTGTTCACAGGGCCATGAACCCAACAAACAAACATTGCTACTTAGATTTGTTACCTGTCACATAATAACTAATTTGAGTAGAATTGAGTTGATCTCACATTACCAGAGTGTTAAATGTCCTTCAATATCTCCTTCCTTCTATCTTAAGATGATCTTTTGTTTCCCTTTCAGACGGAGCTGACACAGGAAAAGTGTTGGGGCTATGAGAAGGTTTGTGAGGAGAAAAACAGAATGTTCATGCCAAGCTGCCCAGGAAACAGCCGAGGATGGTACAAAGTTACTGTTTACTTACTTTGCATAGAAATTAAGATAAAACAAATGAATTGGAACATGGAAATGATTTCAATACATAAAAGATGAAAGCATGTATTGTACATGAAATGAAAAATGGAGACAATATGTTGAACTATTCATACTCCCTACTAATGTAAGATTGAGGGGATACTAGCATATAGTAATCACTTTGTGTGTCCATGACAACCATGTTTATCAAATGTAGCCATGGTAAAGATTAGTCTGTACTCTCACCATAGCATCACTTCTTCAAAGTCTGCACCAGATAAGATTTTTGTGGTCTTTGGCCAAGGTTAGAAGTGAAGTTGACCTTTTGAACACTTTTGAAATAAATACCTTTGTACAAGTTATCTCATGAACTCCTGGAAAGTTTTACTTCATATCCACACCTGGCAAAGCTTCATCCACAAAGGTGTTCACTTGATTAGATTTTAATGGTCATCAGTTAAGGTTAATGGTCCGAGCTGACCCTTGACCACTTTAAAATAGAAAGCTTGTGTGCAAGATATCTCTTGAACCCCTGAACAGTGTTAGTTTATATTCATACCATAGAGTTACATCATAAAGTGGTTTTTGTGGTCATTGGTCAAGGTTTAGGGTTAAAGATAACTATCAAGTGCTTTTGAAATAAAAAATGTATTTACAAGATATCTGATGAACTCCTTAATAGCAAACATAGCTCGAGTAGCCCATAAGGACTGCTTGCAAAGCAAGCCCTAAAGGTAACTGTGAAGAAAGAAGTGAAAAAAATTCGTCAAAAGTGTGTGACATGAACATAAAGTCCTCAGTAATGCTTTAATTACATCAATGGCATATCACAACTCGCCTACATGACTGATTAGCAACATATGGTCTCATTCAGCTAGATGCTTAATCACTTCATAACTATTGAGGTAGCATATTGCAGACAAGAGTCTGGTTGAACAAGACAAAGCAATTAGTATCTTACCTGGTAAATTGGTGTCGATTTTCTGAAAGAATGAACTAAGATAAAAGACTGGAGCATATGAACTAGTTAGGAACACAATAAATACATTGAGGATTTAAGGAAGAAACAGTTAACTTCAGGTTCGATAGATCAAAAGAAAAACTAGAAATTGTTGTTAACAATTTTGCGGGCTTTTCACTTCTTTGGCGACAAGTTGACAGGAAGTTGACATTTATCCTGATAACAATATATGAGAAAGTTTCCTTGTTTGTTAGTCTCTACAACATATCCAAAGATGAACTTTGAATCTTGAAACGTTAAGGATATATAACTACATAATAACAAAGAAATACACTTTTTAAAGGTTCAAACATATTTGACCCCTGTGACCTTGAATGTCGGTCAAGGTTATTCATATTTGCAAGCCTTATAATGTAACATCTGATGATCAATATATTCCCAATATTAGTTCTCTAGACCTTGTGAAACTTGACAAGAGGATTGTTGAACACTGGTACCCTATTTTGTATATTTGAACTTTGACCCCTTTTGGAAACCGGAAGTTGACATTTTGAGGGAAGTTTTTCTCATGACAATCACTAGGAAGTCTCCAGAAGGTTTATAATTAATTTTCATCATTGTATGCCTTCTAGAAATTGAAAAACTGTGATTTAACGATTTTTAGTTAATTGACATCTGTGACATTGAAAGTGGGTCAAGGTCATTTATATTATCAAACTTTGTTGCCAGTGACATATGCTTCTTATATGTGAAATATCAAGCCTCTAGGCCTTCCAGAACTTGAGAAGAAGTTTTTCAAAGATTGGTACCCTAATTAGCTCTTTCCAAATTTGTGCCCTACGGAAAACCGAAACTTGAACATTTTGGGAAGTTTTTCTTATGAAAATCAATAGGAAGTGTCCACAGAAGGTTTATAATCAATTTTCATCATTGTGTGCCTTCTAGAAAGTGAGAAACTGTCATTTAAGGATTCTTAGTTAATTGACCTCTGTGACCTTGAAAGTGGGTCAAGGTCATTTTTATTATCAAACTTTGTTGCCAGTTACATATTCTTCATATAGGTGAAATATAGAGCCTCTAGGCATTTCAGAACTTGAGAAGAAGTTTTTCAAAGACTGGAACCCTTAATAGCACTTTTCAACTTTGACCCCCTACCGCAAACCGGAAGTTGAATTTTGAGGTACGTTTCTCTTATATCAATCGACAGGAAATGTCCACAGAATATTTATGTCCAAAGTTGAAGACTTTGAGCAGCTTAACAATGGAGAAATTACCATTTAACTATTTTTACATAATTGAACCCTGTGATCTTGAAAGTGGGTCAAGGTCATTTATATTAACAAACTTGATAGATATTTAAACAGACATCTTACACATGAAATATCAAGACTCAAGGCTTTGCAGAACTTGAGAAGATTGTCAACGTTTTTAACTGAAAATAACACTTTTGAACTTTGACCCCTACCGAAAACGGGAAGTTGACCTTTGATCGCAGTTTTTTTCTTGTGAAAAGTGTTTTCTTTTTAATTCACATAATATTATTAAAACTGAGGTCACTAGCTTCAACAATTCTTGAGGTACGGCATTTTAGGTAAAATAGGAAATGACGTCATGGCGGCCATTTTGTTTTTCCGCTGAATTTGTAAATGTCACTAAATGGTAGAAGACATCTGGGGAAATCTTCTCAGTAACAATTTGATAAAATATAGCCCATCAATATTGATCTAAAACGAGTTTTTTCTATTTGTCGGCATTTTTAAATGATCAAAGAAAATTTTCAAAATAGCATACAGCGGAAATGGTAAACGTTTCAGAAGAACTGAAAACACTAAAGGACGTTCTGCATCGATCTGAAGAAGAAAATTTCAAGAAAATTCAAAATTAAAAAAAATTTTAAAAATTGTTAAATTTTGAAAACTTTACCCAACAGCGAGCTTTTTTATTTGACATATTTTGTAACAATATGGCTGACAGAAAGTTAGATATGGAAATTCTCTACAATTAATATTAGTGCACAAACTCTGTAGAATCAAAGGTGTTCGAGATATTGCCATTTTTAAGTTTTAACTTATAACGTCATGGTGACCATATTGGATTTTTGACCTACTTAAAAAAGCGGCATCAACAACTTCATATACGTATCTACAAATAGGTGAATAGACTGTATGTCTAGCTTTTACAATTTAAAAGATTATGAACCCACAAATTTGGAAGAAGAATAATAATAAGAATAATACGAAACATAACAAAAACAATAGGTCTTTTCACCAATTAGTGAAAAGCCCTAAAATTCTTGTTTAATTGTAATTGATACTGTTTGTTTACTGCAATGAAATACCTCATAATTCTATGCTCACTCCACATGGCTTTGCCATAAGTCAGTTTAGATAACTCCTCAACAGATTTAGATCAGGAGAAAAGATGAGGGGATGGGGGTATATCTAAGAGAACTCTTGATCACTTTGTTTTTATGTCCTAAGGAATGCACCTTGAAGGGCATATGCTCTCACTTTCTCTACAGTATATACCATTTTGAATTACTATATACATCTTCGACTGGTTGATAACAAATTTTTATAATAAACAATTAAATAAGTGTTTATTGATGTCATTTTAATGGCAAATATAGGTAATATTTACCTGTAATAGATGTTACTTCTGTATCTCGTTTACAGCCTTAGTACAACTTTATAATAATTACTTTGATATTTCCATCTTAGATAACTTTTGTTTCGGTTGTAAGACATTGTCCTTCCCTTTCAACAATTTATTGTACATTAAAATGTACATATATGAGTTTAATATTTATGAGACAATTATGTCAACTTACAAATTTTAATTTGCCAGGTATTAAATATATAGCTATCCTAATGAATGTGTACAAAAATATGATATCACGTTGACAGTGTGTCCAGATTTCATCGTTAAGAAAGTTGATGATTAATTTCATCTGATCTTGCCCCAAACGTATGACGAAACTGTGTACATGTATTTGACTTCACTTTAGGAATCTTTATCACAAGCTTGAATTAAATGCATCTTAATCAAAATCTCTCCTAAGAAATAATTTTGTTTTTAATCAAGATGTTTAAACAAAAATAATTTGTAAGTCGATAAAAGAATTTGTATACACAATGGTTTGGTAAAGTTCATGGCTTGAGAAAACAGTCAGGAGGCTGGTAGTTATGGAATACAATTACATGTCCAGGCATAGGATAAAAAATTGAGGATCTTGATCAACACATAATTCTCTATCTATATTGGCTTGAGTAGGTGGCAGTGTTACCTAAACAAACCTCTAATTTCACAACCATTAAATAAGAATTTCTCTTAAGTTTTTATGGGCATGAAAACCACCAGGTTTTGTCAGTATTTCAACATGATTCATTTGTTATGAGTATATGTTATGAGATATGATCATTTTCAAATCTTCTTATGTGTGTCTCAACATGGCAAATAATGTTAAGACAAATTTTATTATTTGTAATGTTTTTTATGCTCCCTGAAAATTTTCAAGGTTACTACTTTGTCCATCTGTCTATCTTTTCATGTCTGGACGGTTACTTTGCTCACAGATAAGAAAGAATCATGAAACTGGTTGTATACATTGGTTGTACCAAGATGTGCAGTGTATTGAATTCAGGGTCCTCGACTAATGTACCAAATTTAGTGTTTGCAGCCCTTTAATTACTGAGTTATTGACCTTTGTTAAAATTTGTGTTTGGTACAGTTATTTTCGGGGAGTATTCATCAGATTCACTAATGCTCTAATTTTTTTGATATGTTATGTAAATGTTATTTAACTCTTTTAAAATGACATTCAAATATGTAGACTGATCAAGGATAATCAACCAAAAGTTACTGCCATTGGAACTGTATCTAGGCATCATCAGTTGACAGGAATTGTAAAAATAATTGTTGATGTGCATTAGTTATTATCTGAAACAAGCTTAACGAATCACTAATCAAACTCTTGATAACATACATGTATACATTCAGATGTTATTTTGACTGATTTTAGGGCTCATGGGAAGGAAGAGCAGTTAGACTTGTTCTGGAAGGGAGCAGATTTTGGCTATATCAAGGAGAGACGTGGAGAGCTAAAAGTTCTCTGTTCACCTGATTCAGAGGTAGGTTAATTCTCGAGTCTTATGGCAAGAAGATCGCCCCAGTCTTTTATAGATCATTTAAAAAAGATTGAATTTTGCTAAATCTTTCTTCAGCTAAGTGGTATATTGTTTACGTTCATTATGGACAGCAATAGCTAAATTTGTAGAGCATCCTCATTTGAAGATCTGAGGTGGGTAATTCAATTCCTACCAGGGATGGTTTGTGTTCCTTAGGTGTTTGTGTTTCTCAGATGAAGGTCCAAGGAGTGTGATTCAATCCCTACCAGGGACAGGTTTGTGTTTCTGAGATGAAGATCTGAGTTGTATGATTTGATCCCTAATTGGACCAGTTTGTGAACCTCATACAGCTTAGATCATGAATCATCTTGTGTTGTAGTGATTTTTTACTTTGACCTGATAATGGCTTTGGAGAAAATTGTTGATGCTGAATGATGTTCATGTTAAGGATGCCTGATGTGGAAGGGCATTACATCGATCCATGTTAATTACTTATATAAAATTGTTGTATGTATTAATATTAGCTTGCTTTTTTCACATAGGAGGATTCTTCATTGGAGTGTGCCAAATACACACGCTATTGTAGGGCAAAAAATCTTTACCTTGACTTCACCAATGCCAAATTGAAGGAGGGCAATAACAGGTATTTTAACACGCTAAATGTAACATGTTTTTAAGCAACATTCTAAACAAAAATTTGAATTTGGCAAATGAGATTTATTATACTTGTCTTAAAAAAAGATGTTTAAACAAATATTTTTAATGAAGATATATCTCCAGACTACTACACCCATCATATGGGCCACTGATCTACAATGTATGTCATTGTTCAAAATAAAGCAACAGTTTGGTCAATGATTTATCAATCAAGTAAGAAATATACATCTGGGTTTTTTTATTCCAACAGGTTTCGAGAAGATGTTTTTACTGAAGGTCAAGTTGGAGGTCACTGTAAGTTGGATAAGGAAGCCTTAAAAGCTGAAGGGGAACACAAAAGTGCTCTCCAGTCCTGGTGAGTCACTGCATCACAAGAGTCGTTGTTTATCTGTTTGAAAAGTTGGATCAGGTTTGGGTGTTTATAAAGTAAGGGCAGACCTACTGATCTTATTTTCTTTCTGACAAACTTTGATTACGCCCTGATTTAGCATGAATATTACATTTTAAGTGCCATCAAACCTGTTTATCTGCATTAACTTATATACCTCTGGAAACAGATAAGAAAAATCTGTGGTTGGAGTAAATTTCCAAAGAATCAACAACCTGCTAATTTCATAAGCATGTGGAGTTTTATCTTCTTGGCTTCAGAAGGATACCCAGTGATATACAGAGGTCTCTTGAAAGTAAGAAATACCTTAAAGATAAAAGAAGAGTGCCAAATTCTGGAGCCTGATATGCCAATAACGTCTACTGCTGTCTTCTGCTGGTTGCCAAAACATATAGTATACCATATGGGCATATCCAGCTTCAGGAGTTTGCGTTCTTCTTTCATTTTTTAGCCAGTGTACCTTAGGTAAGCCTGTCTTTAGATTTGAGAAGAAAAAGTAAGCTTACCAGTATTTGTTGGTGTTCATGTCAATGATTCCATCAGTAAGATATTTCCGTTCTATAAACCTACAAGACAGTAGTGTCGTTTATTATACAGTAAATACCATTGCCATACTGGTCATTTGAGATATTGTATCTATAATTGGTGAACAATGTCATACAAGACTGAAAATGGTGTTTACAATAATGATTAAAGCGTTTGATGATAAATATCTTGTTCTAGAAACAAAACGTAAAATGTAATTATAATCACTGAACTGCTTTGATATGGATTATTTAGTAGTTATAGCACCGTGGAACTTGGAAGTCAAGCACCATATAAAGTGATAGCATGAGATAATGTGGAAACATTTTCTTATGTTTTGTTACTTATATGGTTATATCAACCATTTAGAAAATTGTGATGAGTACACTGTCACCTTTATTAGGCAAAAAAAAAAGTCATATGTAGTATGTTTTGTGCAGAACTGTGTCCTAAGTAACATATATAACTTCCATTAAGATGTCTAGACCGTTCAAAACTCACAGTAAATTTAAATGCATACAATCTCCCCTATTATCCCTGAATGAGGGGACCAAATCCCAAAAAATGGTGAAATTCAAGACCTGGTTTTTAAGAACTTTACTACATGAATGTATTGTTAAGAGTACACTTTAACCCCAGTTTTAAAATAAAAGAAGGAACATTAACATATCATATTAAGTCGTCTCCTTCAGTAGTGCAAAATAACAAAAGGGAAGGGTAACTTGAAACTTTGTTGATTATTTTACTTTTAAGTTGTCCTTTGTTATGTAGCTCAATTTTCATGGTTTTTCAAAAATTAAAAAAAAAAATATAAAATGTTTTCATGGACACTAGATTTTGTGGATAAATAGAGCTGAATTAATCCACTTATACCTATTTCATAAGTTCATGGACATATGAATTTATGGATTAAGAGTACCCATTAAATTAATGAAAATAACCACCTCACAAAAATTAATGATTTCACAGTATGCTGTGAAGTTGTGCTTTGATATTCTGTTTAAACAATTATTTTTTCAGATCCTTGTTAAGATATTTGTGTGATGATAATGATCCGTCAATGTCAGTAGTTGACATACTATATCCATTGCTGACCTTTATAAATAAACTTCACATAAAGAAATTTTCATCCTGTCCTAAGTTTAATTGAAATTTCTACTTTTCAGGTTTGCTGAATTAGAGACATACACATCTTTACCGTTCCGTCCAATTGAGGACAAACAGTGTGATATAGTTATCGACAAACCAACCTACCTCATCAAACTAGATGCTGGTATGCTATCTCTCCAAATTAGGAATATTTACTGTAGTTAATCAAGTTGTGAAGTAAATAAATTTGTGATGAAGGATTTATAAAGTGTATTTTCATCATGTTTATGGCTTGATAACTAAGCTCCATCTTTAGCTGTCATATCAGTATATGATTGTGAGGGTTTATTATCTACAATGATATTACAAGGTTCAATATATAACAAATTTATGGCAATTCCATGTCCGATGCTTTCATCCAAATTTGAAATTGCAAATTCAAATTTCTAGAACATGTGCCACTTTGTATCAAAGCCATTTATAGTGACATTGCAGTATAGTATATTTTAACTAAACTAGCCCCAGGGTTGAGGGGGCAGGGGGTCCATCATATGAACTCTGAAGATTAGGAGTCAAGCTTATTTGTAATTTTTGAAATCTTTTGGGTGTATTGTTTGATATAATCTGTATTAGTGTGTTTGGGATATACCGGTACACATGCACTTGATATTGCTCTGAAATCATCTAATGTTCATTATATTTTCTGGTATGAAAAATTACATAAAATTTATTGAATTATATGGTAAGTGCACCTTCCCAACTAGATTTTGACTTTTCTTTCAATCAGTTTGGACTTTCCTCATTCGTTTCCTAGGGTTCACAATTTAGGCCCTTAGCATCACAGACGAGTCCTGGAGGGACAAAACAGCTGTGTGATGCAGTTCAATTCATTGCTTGGCATTACTGTATCTCACTCTACATTATTAAAAGGTGCTGTTCACTTGTGTGTCTTTTGTACAATCCTAGATCTATTATTTGACTAGATTCAGACATTGTCTAGTAATTCTACTTGCAGGTACCAATTTGTATCACCACTTCTGTGATTTTGTAAATCTGTACGCCTCACAACACGTGAACAATTCCTTCAGTACAGATGTCTATATCGTCATGTGGGACACGGTGAGTGAGATCGGTAGATTTTAACTTCATCACCATAGTTGTAAGGAGGGATACAATATATATATTTTACATGACCTGGATTTGTGGTTTTATCTATTTGTACATCTAAATAATACTTCCTGATGGTCATGTCATGGAAATGCTGTGTATAACATCACTTTCATTCTATTGCCAAAAGGACAACAGTAATACTGTGAATTTAGTTCAATTTCAACTATAAAACAATGGATTTTATGAATTTTACTTCAAATATATCTGTAGGCGTAAACAAACATTTGTATTTAAGGGTGAAAATCTGAAGCATAAATTTGTTGAAAATCTATAACTTTTTAACAAATATATAAAACGCTGTAATGTATGTTTACTAATAGATTCATGATTCTTTACATCTCTATTACAGAGCCCGATGTATTACAATGATTTATTTTCGGTGCCATGGAAAATGTTCTCTGACCACCCAATCATATATCTTAGGGATTATGATGGCAAAAAGGTACATTTTTCCTGAAACAAGTACAAAGGAGTATATGGCTGCCAATAGCCTTTTGTTCTTTCCAATTCAAACACAGGATTCTTGCAGATCATGACTTGTTACTTGCTGATTATTACTTGATAGATCTGGAAGTGAAACAAAACTGTTTTTAGAATCAATTTTTACCTGACTAGATAGTGTCAGTAGGTTTTTTGTTCCTTTTTTGGGGCCCTGTTTTGCAGCTTAAAAAAAAGGCTATTTCCCCTAACGGAAATGTGAGTTATTTTCCCAAAATGAAGCAAAATATAAGAATGTTTTTCCAATTTTACATAAAACCCTGCTTTTGTTTCCCAATTTATTAAGACACAGGCTGCTGTTAAATCAAGGTGGAAAAAACACTGTTTTCTATCAGCCCTTAATTGTTTTTACATTTTTTAACAATAAAACCAAGTACTTAAAATGCAAAAATAAACAAAAAATTTGAATATTGTTTAAAAAAACCCAGTCATATTCTGTATATGATATCATGATGTCAAGAATACCTTTAATGAATCTATTGAAAATTGGTCAATAATATAACATGGTAAAGAATGCTTAACCAGGTCGGTTGATGAAGCTTTACATCTAATTTTGCTCTCAGAATATTTTCACAAATTAATCATTCATGAAAAAGGAATTTTTATGAATTTTGATTTGTCGTTTTACCATGATATTAAACAGTTCTATGATTTTGCCATTTGACAATTACAGGTATGCTTTAGAGAGGCAGTGTTTTCCTTGCTGGCTCGGATGAGATATGGAATGTACTACAATATGCCATTGGTAAGTATAAGGTGTAACATTTCTACAAACACAGAATTTCATTGTAGATCAATGACTCTCTCTGAAGATACATTTAGATGCTATATGTGGCCTTTTCATGTTCCTTATGTAACCTGGTCTTCCAGATTTTGTGTTAAATTAGTTATCTTCAGTCAGTCATCACAAGACTCACTTCTTTATAGTTGTTTCGCTCATTGTAAAGGTTGACATTTAAATGGTTATGATCACTTACCTGTACTTTATAAACAGAAAATAAATCTTAGCATGATAGCTAGAGGTCGTAAAATCAATAAAAATCCATTCATTACAATGGCACAAATTTATTAATGTCAAAACATGGATGTAAGTTAAAAAAACCACTTAATGTTCTGGACTCTTAGTGTTTGTAAATTTTGTTCAAGAAAAAAAGATTTGAAAAAAAAATGTTTTTCAGAACATAATGTTACTACACTCAGAGTGTATGGTTCAATCACATAACTCACTCTTTCATGTTATCTTTCTTCTCATATGATTTCTTAAAAGTATTCTTTTTTCTTTGTGGACAAAGGAAGTGATTGATTCTTTCAATTTTGGCAGGTACCTGGTTGCCATAGTAGCAGTTTTTTCAAGGCTTTTAATCAACAACTTGTTCATAGAATTGGCCTTCAACAGCAGGGACCACTGGTAAGTAGATTTAACATGGAATCTACTGCACAACAACTTATAGGATTAAGTTAGCTAGATCTTTATCTGGGTAGGACGAATAAACATGAAATCTATGTCACATTGACTTATAGGATTGGAAAAACCTGAGTGGGGCGAATAAACATGGAATCTATGTCACATTGACTTATAGGATTGGAAAAACCTGAGTGGGATGAATAAACATGGAATCTATGTCACATTGACTTATAGGATTGGAAAAACCTGAGAGGGACGAATAAACATGGAATCTATGTCACATTGACTTATAGGATTGGAAAAACCTAGATCTTAATCTGGGTAGGACAAATAAACATGGAATCTATGTCACATTGACTTATAGGATTGCGTGAATCATTATTTTGATAGTTCTGTAAATATGAGAAAAGTCATTCAAAAAAGGAATGCAAACCAGATCAATCAAATTTTAATAAGTAGATAAGTATCTGTCAGGCCTCTGTTGCTCAGACCTCTAGTTATCACTAAAAACAAGGTTATCATTTACCAATAGTTATCATTAACAACTTTGAACAACCGGGGCTTGATTGCTGAAGACCTGCGTGTTATAAATGATGTGATTACTTTAATTATCTTTGTTTTGTTCAGTCTTTCAAGAATGAATGTTAACGAGGTGTGTGACAGATCACCATAACCCACCTCCCCCAATCTCCCCACAAAAAAATTCATGATCTTTATAATCTGAGTGTGACAAGGGAGATAACTGCCAAAGATATCAAACAGTTGATGTTAGAATACACTAGATTGTCCTGAATCCTCATTCACTATTGGGATGTAGTGACTGGGTAATATTATGTAGAACAACATATTACATATGAGTTGTTATGTATCATGTTATAATAAAGTACGAGGTCATGAGTTTACAATGAGGAATATAGAGACATCATTGTGATGTAGGATATTAGGCAGTAATTCATGTGGTTTAACCCCTAGGCATGTTACGGTCACATGCCGAAACCGACTAAAGTTAGTTTGTGAATACAATACAGCATGATAAGGGTTAAAGTGTGATTTTTGATGCTTGTATTATTCCTTCAATGGTAACTGAGTACCATGAAGATAACTATGCCTGATTTTATTTCTACAGAAAGAGAAGATTCGAGTGACATTACTCACAAGGAGTACAAAATACAGAAAAATTCTCAACCAAGACGAGGTATATAACAGATAGAACTATTATGAGTTTACTGGATTATCAGTATGAAGATATTTTGTTGTGTAACTTTCTACTACAATAAACGAATGTTATTAAACTCCTTAGGCATCATTCCAAGTGTAAAAATATACCTGTGATACCACACATGACATAACACTTTAATGTGTTTGTCAGTTTCCTACATTAATAAGCAGCGTTTTACTGAAGGTAATATGATTATGCCCAAGCTGATAACGTAAATAAAAAACACATAGGCACAGAACAGGTCAATTCAGCTTTGGAATAGCTTTGTAATTGTGGTAGAAACAAGTCACAGTTGTTATATTTGGTATTTTTCCTCTCGTTAGTTATTAGTTATGTTTTTTATAACTTTTGAAAAATAACAAGCTTGAGTAAAAAGAGATATACCACAACCACTTATTATGTAGCAACTGTAGTTTTAAGGGTATTTCCAATTCATATTAAGATGCTTTTATTTGTGATAAAATTTCCATTTACAAATTACCTGTCCATCAACAAGTTTTAAACTCAAAAATTAAAAATGAAAAGCCATTTTTGCTAAAAAAATTTTGGTCCATTATTATATGCATTGATTTCTTGAGCAATAGACCCATGTTTAGCAATAAGCCCACCAATATCTATTTGAGCTTTGTAGAGAGTCCAACATTAAGTATTAAATTGTACTGTAATAAGCGACCCCCTGATTTTAAGTCGGTTTGGGGATTATTCTTGTTAACTATGATAATGAGCTAACCAAGCCTAAATATCAATGTTTTGTTTCTGATATGATTGTGCTAGGTTAGACAGCCTGTAATGTTATTGATATGATTATGCTAGGTTAGACGGCCTGTAATGTTATTGATATGATTATGCTAGGTTAGACGGCCTGTAATGTTATTGATATGATCATGCTAGGTTAGACGGCCTGTAATGTTATTGATATGATCATGCTAGGTTAGACGGCCTGTAATGTTATTGATATGATCATGCTAGGTTAGACGGCCTGTAATGTTATTGATATGATCATGCTAGGTTAGACGGCCTGTAATGTTATTGATATGATTATGCTAGGTTAGACGGCCTGTAATGTTATTGATATGATCATGCTAGGTTAGACGGCCTGTAATGTTATTGATATGATCATGCTAGGTTAGACGGCCTGTAATGTTATTGATATGATCATGCTAGGTTAGACAGCCTGTAATGTTATTGATATGATCGTGCTAGGTTAGACAGCCTGTAATGTTATTGATATGATTTCCAGCTTGTGGCTGCAATGAAAACTGTTGGTGAATTTGAAGTAAGAGCCGTAGATTATACTTGGTGAGAATCAGTCTTCACATTTGTTTATGCTTTTATCCATGTTTCTGATAAATTAATGACAGTTTATTAATGGTGCCAATTCTTACACTCTGTACTACCAGACTCAGAAGTTCTTATGTGGTACAAGTAAATAAGTTTAAATATAAACATATATATGTATAATTTAAAAATCACAAAAATTGTTGAATGAGCAAGTTGTATTTTTTATTTGTTGTAATGAATTGTTGTTTAACATACATTTGTTCCGTTTTCAGGAATATGAATTTTAAAGATCAGATGCAGGTAAATATTGTACTTATTGAAGATGCATTGATCAAATGACTAGCCTCTCAAGTAAATTACTTGTTACTTCATTCATATTGTAGAATTTTTTGTCCTAGTTAAGGATGTGAAGATATCATTTAAAATGACGGCAGGCAATTGTACATTATATTAGTCTATGTCTTACAGTTCTAGTTCGTTTTTTTTTTATTAGATTTCCCACAACAGTGACATATTTATCGGAATACACGGTGCGGGACTTACCCACATGTTGTTTCAGCCCGACTGGGGTGTTGTCATGGAATTGTAAGTATGAGTTGTCAATCACTTACTAAAATGTTTCATGAATGGCTCGATATTTTCTAGAGACAGATGTCCCCCCTACATTGTTACATGTATAACTGCCCTTCTTTCCGTTATTGTAGGTATAATTGTGAAGATGAAGGTTGCTACTTTGACCTTGCCCGACTTCGTGGTGTACACTACATGACGTGGGAAAAGAAGGACAAACTTCATCAGGAGGATGAGGTAATTATGTAATACAACTTCTTGATATATAAATGCAGCTTACATTGTAAGACATTGGCTAAGTATTCTATTTATCTTGAAACACTCCTTGAAAATTAAGACTGTTTCATTGGTTTGTCAGAGCTATTCAATGTTTGTTACAACAAACAAGATGGCTTATTTCTAAGGTTATTTATGTTTGCGAATGAAATGTTTCAGTATTAAGATAGTAATTTGGCAATCTGTTCATGCATATGCTGTTTTGCTGCCACTGAGGAATACCGCAAAAATATATGGCAGATGTATTCTGACAATGCCAGTTGCCAGTTTTTATTTATTCTATAAAATGTGAGTTTGACTCCGGAATTAGGTCAGGTTGAAAGAAACCAGAAACATGCCAGCACATTTTACCTGTATACTAAATTTTTAAAACAGAATCCAAACTAAATTTCAATAGTATGTCAGTAAGTACAAACCTATTGCCTTTATTCTTTTGGAACATTTTCCCATCATGATGAAAATGCACAAAATTCTTGTCACCACATTGCAGTCATCAATAACACAGTCATGCCATTGATTATCTCCCTTGGCTGGACTTGGGTTGCATTAAGTATGTTGTCATTGTAGTAAAACATCAGTTTTGTTTGTATTGATGATATTGTCATCACTATCCAAACTAAAAACAAAATAAGGATGTTCAAGGTTTTATTGTGACAAAAATATTTTGCGTTTGTATCCTGACCAGATCAAGTCCAAATTAATTGAAAACTTTTAAGATGTATGTTGTTTTTGCCTGCAGGGACATCACCCTACTTTAGGAGCTCATGCTAAATTCACAAACTATGGCTTTAATGTAGAAGAATTTCTCCGACTGGTCTTCAAGGCAGCTGAACATGTGCGTTCTCATCCAGCATTCATCAAGGCTAAACAACAAAAATATGGTTTGACTAAAGAGCCTAAAACCGAGCTTTAGAAAACCTTGTGTTGTGTGCATCAGGTACACAGTTAGTAATTCCATTTTATTTGATAAAAGATGAGAAAATTTTGTACAAGAGATTATTGACGAGGTCAGTTTTCTTAATTCTGATTGGTAAATTGTTTGTGGATAACGATTCTTTAAATTATTTTTTACATGTTTTTTTTCAAACTGGATGTGTATTTGTACGATTATGCCTATCAGGTGCTGTTCGAAGGTGTATCTCTGTCATATAAAGAAATGATTTGCTTGTTTTTTCAACTTGTGGACATTTTTTGTGGAAAGATGTTTTAAATTTTCGTTAATTAGTTATACTTAGTTTAAGTATGAAAGAAATCTGCAAATCTTAAAAGAAGTTATGGAAATATCCTCAATTTTGATTGGTAAACACTGTCTACATTTTGGTGATTTTGCCAAAGAGATTTTTAAGTTGTATTCTGACCAGGTTCTGGCTTAGTTCAACCCCGAGTGAAATCTGTGAATCTGTTTGCTATGTTTTTTTTCAAATACCTTATTTTTTCATTTTGCCAAAGTTGGTGCTTTGTTATATGATGTCGATGTTCAGGCCAAAGGTAGGGTTGAGTGTAATCTTGATATTGCAGGTTGCTGTCGGGTATTGTTAAGTTTGATCGTCTGAACCTTCCAAACAAAACCTCTTAGAAATCATCTTATATTTTGCCAAAATGCATGTATGTGTATAGTTGCTTAGCTAAAATATCCATTTAAAGTTTAAATGTGAAAGTGCTCTGAAATTTCAACAATTGGAAAATAATCATAAAGAAAATGAAGGCATTTTCTGTCAGTAATGTGAGTCTATGCAATATCATTCAAAGTTCGTGTTCAGTGCCCATGAGTGTCTTATCTAAATGATTGATGAGCCCTGGTGGTTGATCAGTGGAGTCTGTGTAAGTGAGAGCATATGTTCCTATGGAAGTAACATGCTTTCAACATGATGTTTGATTCTTTTTTTAGTAGTAGTTAATGTATCATTATTGAGATGACTTCTTGGTAAAATGAAGCCAAAAAAAATGTTGGTAGAAAAGTAAATTTTCTTTCAGTTCACATGTATTTTTTCTTTTTTTCAAAGTATTTGTTCAAAATACATCAACAAAGAAGTGATTGTGTTTTTTAAAAGGTGTCCATAAAAAAGTAATAAATATCAAATTAAAAAATGATGGGAAGTTTAAAGAGAAAGTGAAAATAGATTGGTTTATCAACTATTCATATCTACTTTTTTTCACTGAGTTATTAATTATTGTTATCTTTTTTATGATGTTTTTTTTGGAGGGGGGTTGCAGGGGTATATTTAATGATAGTCCATTATTTATTTATTTTTGTATTGTAATACTTTTGTCTATGTAGCTAGGTTTAGAAATTAATGGGTTGGTGAAGATTACATATATATATTCTCTGCAGTTATTAATGTATCAGTGTATAATTAAAATGTTGAAAGAAACCAGAATTTCACTTAAAAGGGAATTTGTATATACAACACATATACTGTAGACACTTAAATATTTCATTTTATCAGCGTGAAAATGTGATTTTGTATATACAACACATATACTGTAGACACTTAAATATTTCATTTTATCAGCGTGAAAATGTGATTTTGGTCAAGGAGAGTTTATGATTTGGATTCCCAGAAGATAATTTGACTTGTGGGTTGTATGAACTTTATGAAGTACACATGTTTTGATATTCCATCAATGGCTTGTCTCATTATTGTTACTTAATGGATCATTTAACAAAATAGGATTTTACATGTCTAGTTCAGTGTGCAAAGTATTTTCCAGTCTCAAATTGCCACATCAAAATAGTTTTATCAGGTTGATATGCTAATAAAAAATTCACCCATGTAGCTGAAGCTGTGATACATAAAATATTTTAAAATGAAGAGCATGTTCATATATGTTAAATATATGTAAAATGTAATCATGAAATGCGATGCAAAACCACATTTTTAACCATTTTTTTGTCACATTATGCCTTTCATATTTGTAAAATTGAAAAGGATATCAGAAAATGTTCTCATCGTACATTGGTGATGACCTCATGAGTGTGTGTGTTTCATCAGTATTGAGAAACTGGGAAAAAAAACTTTAAAAGTATGTTCTTATGAATTCATTTTGCTGCAATTTGTTATTCATGGAGCTTTGCTGGTGTTTGAGAATTACATCTATTGTGATTTAGTAAAGGTTGACAGATCAGAGCTGTCAATCTGGCATTCAAACATGAAATACACACATTTTTTTTGTTCAGTTTTGTCATTTATTCTGTCGTATATTCCCACACTTGCCTTTTCCATATTATCATCAAATGTTCTGACTACTGGAAGAATGATTGATAATTTTATTTTACACCACAAGTTCATTTGACAATGCAGATTTCTGTTTAACAAAACCTTATTCTTAATACAATACAGCATGTACAAAACAACATATTTGAACCCCCTTTTATGCCAAGGATAGAAAAAAATTCTCTCTCCCTAAAAAGAAACCTCTACTTAAGCAATCCCTATCTGATCCATGTGTTTTCTGGGTCCACTGACAGCTTCAAGAACTAAGTTGTAAACCCTGACCAGAGTTTAATTAGTGGTAATAACAGTACTGTAATTGAGGAAATTGCAACATTGTAAAACATGTAAGGTTTTTCATTTCGTAAGTTTTTTCCTGGAATATACCGTAATTATCTATACATCTACCTAATTTGATAGTATTTACACTTGATACGTAACATTTTGAAAGTTATGCATACTATATTTAGATTTTATTAAAGAGAAATCTGCATTGCCAGTTGGCCTTGTAGTGTTTTAAAATTAAATAAACAATATGCCTTGTGGACTGATCAGTATTCATCTGTTAAATTTGATACATGTAATACATTACATTTTGAGCATGCCATATTAGAATGCGTACATTATTATGGAATAATTTATTTTTGTGGAACTCATTTTTTTGTAGTTTTTCAAAAATCACTCTTTCGTGGACACTTGAATTCTTAAGATAGATTTCTTGGATAAATATGAATAAATGAATAATGTTAAACCAAATCTCAACAGTTCATAAACAAATGAATTTGTCAAGTTAGATAACAGATAAAATCAATGAAAATAACCCCCCACAAAAATTTATGACTTTACAGTAAGTGAAGGGAGAGCAATGGTTATGATATACCTGGTAAGTGTTTACCTGAGCTGTTCTATGGCATCATTGACCTCAAGGTATTGAAGGAATGTTTGTTTTTAAAATCTTTTGTGACGATCATGTAAAATACCCAGTGCTAGCTTTAAATTCTGAAGGGTAAAAAACATAGGAGAGATATACATGTCATTAAAATTTGATACAGGGAACTACCAAAGATCACGACTTTTAAAAAAAAAATCTGTTATATGATGACAACTGTGGAGTATATAACCAGGATTAACACCATACATATCTTAGCTTTTTCTTTGAAAGGAAAAATTGTCAAATTGTATTTTTAAAGGGTGTCTTTTTGTATTGTAATTCAACTATTGTATTTGTTGAAGTCTTTATCCATTATCAGCTTTATTTGTCATGTTGCAGTAATTATAAACTATATATGTTTTCTTATATTGTTTGGTCAGTTGTGCATAACATATTAGCATTGGTGAAAGTATGATATGATTAATTGTACATATGATAAGAGAATATTTTGTTAAATCTATACATAATGATTTTTTAATTGTCTGTCAGGGCTGCATTATGTCAGAGAGAATTTTTTAAAATATTTTTTTTTGTCAACTTTTTTCTATAAGAAATTGAAATTGTAATGACCAGTTTTTTTTTAATCACTAAGACATAGGTTAAGTTTGACATTTGTACATGCTGAAGTCAGAGAATGTCAAGCTTCCATTAATGTACTTTCCTCCTCCTGGAAACTAATGGGCATTTTCTAAGTAACATTCCCTCTGTCTGACCACTAGATTTTACTTTTACATCAACTTTGTTTTTGATAAGAAATAATTACCAATGACGATTTTACGATTTAAATAATCTTAACCTATAAATGAACTACGCAGTTGTACTAGTCAAATAAACACAATGTCACATTTTCAAACTTTATTTTCATGTAAATATTATGTATAGATAAAGAATGAGTCAGACAAAAATGAGTATTGTTTTAATATGTTGTTTGAGGTACAAAGAGTTTGGCACAATCTTTGGGCTGATTCTGGAAAAGGATTGTCAGCCTCAGTTAAGCAAGAATCATAAAACTTGCCAACTATGTTGGTGATATTAAGATGTGCAGTGTATTGAAGTCAGGGCTCACAACCCATTATTGACTGAGTTATTACAGAACTTAATTTTAAATTACTTTCATTTAAACTAGGGTAATGAAACTTGATGTAGACATTAATTGTTTTAAGGTATTGTGCAGTGTACCAAATTCAGGACATGCAACCCTTTAATTACAGAATTATTGCCCTTTAATAGGTGCCAAATTAAGTTGTTTTCAGGGAGCATTCATCAGATTCACTGATACTGATATTACGTAATGAGAAGTCTGCTATTGGATTGGCAACTCTCTTCTGTGTTTCCTGATAACTACCTTGTTCAGTTAAATTAAAAACCTTTCTTTAATTTCAGTCACCCAGTCATATGATTTTCTGTTTTTGTTATTCCTAGGTATGGTATTAACTCTTTGGATTAGTTGCAATGCAGGCTTTTTATTAAAGTTGTGGTTTTATAGCTATTGTAATGATGACAGGAATGATGTGATCTGTTTTAACTCCATAATAAAATCGATGGATAGAAAACACATCCTGAGATCTAGTGTTACATCAAATCCAACCCCTTCAGTCTTCCTCAGTCAGGATTTGACATCTTGGTTTCTGATCTGCATGCATTCCCCCAAAATATTAATTTTACAATCATGATTAAAAAATTAAAGAGAATATTACAGAGGTGTCTTTCAAACACATCTTGCTGTGCAAACTTCAAATATTGTTGGAGAAATTAAATTGTTTGCAAAAATTTGGGCGATAAAGTTTCAAAATTACAAAATTGTCCGTGGACTAGCAATCGTATTAGGCTAATGTTGAGGTTTCTGCTTTCCCTGTGGCAAAATATGTTTCTTACTTACACTATGTCAAATTCATTCTTGGACATGTCTGATTTGGTCATTGTCAGAATAAGATAACTAGGCTGGGATGCTGTACTACAGGTTATTGGCAGGATCACAATTATCTCCCTCAGGTGATTCTCCAGCAGACAGACACTGATGCTAGCAGGATCTACTTAAATCAAAATTTATCAGCCCCAGAGGAAAATCAGAGGATGAGTGATTGCTGCTCAAATAGCAGTGTAGATTTATTTCAATTTATTTTTTTAAATCATGCATGATATGCCCAAGGACACAACCATGTCAGTACAGATACAGTCCATTTCTTAGCCTCTCCTGAAACACTTACTGCCCAGAGTAGAGAGGGATTCATGTACCTCCAACTTCGCCCGAGGTTATGAAGACCAATACTTTACTGACTGGGCTATAATGACTGAGTACTGAGAAAAAGATATATATAATGTATCAGGAGGCATGATTTTTTTTATGTAAGATCAGTGAAAGTTTCACTCAGGACCAGACAAGCTAAAAATGACAAAATCTTCAGTTTCTCATAAATATATTTTAATTGTTAGCTAAATTAACAATAAGATATATTGTAAAGTAAATATATAGCTAATTTCCAAGGCCATACATCACAGGTGTTGAGCTTATCACAGAGAATTGATATCAGTTGTCAGGGCAACAAAAACTCATTGCCATAACAACATCATTGTTGACAAATATAATCGAATAATAATAATGGTAAATTCAGATCAAATTAATTATTACAGAAAACAAGTACAATTACAGAAATTAAATACTAATATAAAAATGTAATTTCTAGTTGAAATGTTCAAGTTATTCCTACTAAAATCTAGTTAAAATATCATTAATATCTTTCATTGTGGTAACTATCTGCCTTTATAAGTAAATATTTGACCGTTTATGTAAATTTGTTTTATCTGATCTACATATCACATGTTGGGCTAAGCATTACCTAACATAGAATGTCCTCATTTTCATAATTCATGAAATGTTTCCTCATTGATCTAGCAGATCTTTAAAATCCAAGGGTTTAACACAGTGTACACATTTTTACTTCCGCCTGGTAAACTTAATTTACCAGTAAGTTTGTTTCAGATACGTGTATAACAACTGACTTAATGTTGTGCTGATGCCTGTATTTTGACATTTACAAACTTTCCTTCAATTAAAGTCAAACAAATTCATAGTAATGCTGCCAAAAACCTATTTTTGTTTTTTGTCCATTTAGAGATGTTTGTGCGATCATTAACATGAAATCTACAACTAGGTGACATGTACAGAGGATCAGGTACCTGAGAGTAGCACCCTTGGCTTTTGAGATGGTCTAGCAGACTACATACTACAATAAATCAATCAGTTTCCACTTGTTAGGTTTAGTCTACAGTTACTTAATGTAAGTTTACTCTATTTTAGTACATATGTAATTTACTGGGCTGACCATTAAAACATACCAGTAATTTGAGAAAGCAGACAGCACAATGCTGGCGATGAAATAATTCAATATCAGTCATCTCTTATGTTGTATATTTATATATACATCTGTTAAACTGATTTCATATTTCTATATCATTCAGTTTTAATAAAAAAAAGAGACAAAAATAAATCTATATCATATTGATTTAACAAAAAAAAAATTTTTTTTTTGGCAAAATTATCTCCCAAAAAAACTAAACCCTTGTATGTAATATTGTCTGAAATCAATAATGAAACTATCACGGTCTTACAACGATAAACCAAATAATCCATTTATTCTGACTTGTCAAGAATTCCATAAAGGGAATGTTCCAATCAACTGTGGTAATAAATAGCAATAATTTGTCCGAATTGATACATACCTAATACTGTTTTTGAAGATTATACTTTCTTTGGTAAAGACAAAAAAATCTTTGGCACAATATCAACCATCACCAAAATACAGTCGTCATTACAACACGATAATTACTGGTAAAACAGAATTTGTGGGGGAAAAAATTATTGTAAAATACTTTAAGGAATTGTTAAATAGATGGACATTTTTCCCCAAAAATCAGTAATCTTTTTCAGACATCTTGTGACATGTTTTGGGTCATCTGTCATTGATTTAAAATCCAATGATCTGTCCCAGTACTCATAAGAAGTTACCAACACAACAGACACTGGAAAAGTTCCCATAATCACAATTACATGACTGATGGATCAGAGCATCCCATCTCTATATTGCAATTTCATGAATAAACTGAAAGGGAAAAAAATGAAAAAAAAAAAAAAAAAAATGAAAAAAAAGTCCTACTATTGTGTTGCTTGAGAATTCCTAAAGGCTGTCCAGATATTTTAATCTTTATAAATTGCTGATAACCCATGGTGCTTGTTTTGATGAATATGGTTGATACATGGCATGAGCTCATGAAACATAACAAAATTTCTTAACTTATGTAATGCTTTCCCATAGACAATTTAGATTTTAGGAAAAATCCTTCAGTTAAGGAAGATTCATGAAAGTGGGGTCAGTACATATTTAATGTCTCTAAATACCAGTCAACATTTTTCATTAACATGATGTAACTAAATTCATTTACCATGAGTTTACATAGTGGAAGAAACATAAGTTAATCTCAGTAAGTCTCTTAATCAATAATTTTCAAAATGGTTAATACCCTACAGTAATCTCACTTAACTCTTACAGCTGAAAGCGACATCACAATCTACTTCATTTTTTATTAGAAACATAAGGGTCTATATCACAGTAGCCAGGGTAGTTTCAAAAATATTTAAAGCTAAAATGGAGTACTTAAACAGAACTGAATGTATCTAATCAGTATGACTGATTTTCAGAGGGAGAGAGAAAAAAAAAGTGGGGGGGGGGGGGGGGGGGGGGAGAGAGAGAGAGAGAGAGAAAAAAAAAGTGGGGGGGGGGGAACAAATATAACACATACTTTGGGCTCTGATATATTTTGTTTCTACAACAAGAAATGAAAGTTTTCAGACTCAGAATTTTTACACTAAAATATATCACAGAAGCACAAGATATACATTGAAAATAATAAATAAAGACACAAATCATGTCCATGAAGTATGTATACATATAATACTTTTAAAAAATGACCTATTTTCTATTGTGTATTGCGCATTGTAATCTATCTACATTATAAGTATGATCTACATCATATAACAACTTACAACAGAACTGATGTTAGATTAAAAAAAAATCTATCATTTCATCTACTTGTAAACAAAATTCAACAAAAGTCAGTGAACAATTATCAAACCTCATACAATAAATTTCTTCACATTTTCACAAATATCATTTGATCAAACATTGATAGTAAATCATTTAAAGGCATCGGCTTTGACAATTATTGGTTGTACTGTACAAATTCTGATAACATTATCATCAAATATGTAGGAAAATTTCCCCAATGGGCATTGGCTTGTAACTTATAGCTGGCTTCCCCTGCTTTAATCCACAACTACAGCCTCTTTGAAAGTCACACTGATACCATGATTATTGCTAGGGGCTTGATAACGTTCGTAACCAGGTCCACCTGTCGTAAACAAATTGTCATGGTAACCATTGTCTCCAAAATCTGTACATACTGGGCCAATACCTTTCACTGTTGGTCCAAAATTATCAGCTTCATTTTTAATGTCATTTTCATTTTTCTGTCGACCATTTTGCTGATGTCTGACTGGTTTAGAAGGTGGGGTCTTTTTCCTCCTTTCACTGTTTGATGAGGGACTAGTAAATCTGTTTTGATATGCCTGAGCAGCTAATGTTTTTTGAGAACGTTTGGAAGGATATTCTTGTGTATAGGTTGTGTAACGGCCTGGAACATGATACCATGCTGAACGATGATGGTACTCCTTTTTTATATCCCGTGGAGTTGACGGTGGACCAAGGAGACTGCTGACATCACTGTTTGGTCCATATGTTATGGATCGGGTATTACCAGGAGTGATTGCGTGTGGACTCATTACACTGCGACTACGCATGCTGCTATGTGTTGTACGAGACATTCGACTAGCACTTGTAATGTACGAGCTACCACTTTTAGCACTGCCACTTCGAACATTTGTCTTGCTGTTGTGAGGCTGACGAGGAGACACTGACCTTGAACTTCCTGCACTGCCATATCGTTTATACAGACGTACAGGAACAAAATCCTGACTGTCAGGAACATCAAACGTAGTTACTTGTTTCCCAACTGACCTTGCCAGTGTGGTTCGATCCATACCTCCGATATCATCCGCAAAACTATCAATCTGTGGATCTGCTACACGTGTCTCCTTCCCCGAATCCTCAGCCTCTTCTTGCATTGAGGTAAGATTGATTTCCACTTTTTTAGAACTTTCATCTGGAGAAGAGTTTGTACTTTTAGGTGAAGAGGTTCTTAGGCGCCTGTCTAGTGTTCCTCTTTGTAAAAGTCGAGGACGCTCCGACTCCAGCATGAGTTTCTCGGAGGCACTTAAAAAGCTGAGACTACTATGACGACTGAGTTGGCTGTAAGATGCATCATTCTTACCACTATCTGGACGTGAATTTGAGTATACTGAGCTACCTCCTCTGCTGGATGACCTTGATTTGGCTCTCCGCTCAAAATTGATGATATCTTTTTCTCGCCATGACATATTGCTGTATGGACGTTCCACTGACCTTACGTCAGTAGGTTTGGCGGGACCAAACTCATAGCGCCCCATCTTTAGTGTCACCTCCAGTTTGCTCAGGTAAGAACGCACAGCACGAGTGTCAATGTGGTCTCCTCCTGAAACACAAGATAAACATTCAGTAAAACAAACTTGATACGAAACAACAACACAAGAAAAATGTGTACATATTTTTTACCTTTGAGTCTCCACTGGCTTATCAAAAAACAAGATGTGCTTATGAAACACTATGTCCCTAGTTGCAACAAAATTCTGACGTGGGACATTAAAACTGTACTGTATAAGACATGTGCTAATTGCATGTACACTTTGAAAAAAAATTGTCTTCAATGTGCAATAGTTAAGGCTGACGTCTAAGTTTTCAACTGTAGGTCAAAGGTCACTGTCAAGGATACATCCTCAAAAATTTTGGTACCACCAGAAGGGTCCTGTCATAAGGAACACACATGTTGAACATGAAAGCTCTACATCTTATAATGCAATAATTATGGCCAATGTTAAAATTTTTCAAATGTAGGTCGAAAGCTACGGTCAAGATCAAAAGGTCAAAGAAAAATTTTGTTACCACTGGAAAGGTCTTGTCACAAAAAAAACACATGTTGAATATGAAGAACTTTAAGCAATACAGTACTTATCACAGAACAGTTATCCCATAAAAATATGTATCACATACAGTACTTATCACAGAACAGTTATCCCATAAAAATATGTATCACATACAGTACTTATCACAGAATATTTGTCTCATAAAAATATGTATCACATACAGTACTTATCACAGAATATTTGTCCCATAAAAATATGTATCACATACAGTACTTACCACAGAATAGTTATCTCATAAAAATATGTATCAAAATGATACATTACTTTTGACAGAAGAATTAAATATCATTCCTTAATAGTTAAAGTAGATATGTATGTTTCACCATACTTTGTCAGGCAATAAGTCTGTGTCTCGTCTATCTAACAACAAATACTGTTTAATTGCCCTGTAATAAGCCCACCTATTACCACAGTGAGTCATCGTGAGTATTAGTGCAGGACTAGTTGCTAGATCAATATATAATTCAGATATTTAGAGCAAGGTATTTCAAACAACAGATAAAAGTAGTACTACTCAAACTGCATGTGGCATTCCTTATATTTATAGCACCGCCATGTAACACAGGGGATATTAACTGTCAAATGATCCTTCCTTTTTATTGATATTGTATTAACAATACAAAAACAAATCGGCAATGCTTTCCTTCCCTACCATTTAGAAGGGTTCAAGTTTCCAAGTACCAGCACAAACTTTTCACAGATATGTGATAATCTGCTGTTCACCATACTGCACTTTGAAGATTATGAACATAACAGCCCTTAAGTATAGGTCTTGTAGATCTTACAAGTTTTAAGCACAAAGCCATATTTCAATGGAGAATGAATAAAATGAGACTTAATAAAGAATTACAGTTGCTAAGGTCACATGTATTTAATCAAATTTTTCTGAAGAAGTCTTGGCAATACATGACTGATCCCATAGAAAGGTATTAAAATAATATATTACTGATACCATACTAGTCACTACATATCAAAACAAGTAACTAATACTATACTAACTCATGAAATGATACTCTGAATCACCCGTTTAGACAGAAGCAACAAAGTATGAGACCAGACATTATCATAGCTATTGTATTATATTCTGTTGTTTCAAGATGTAGTTCTGGCCATATCAGCGTTAAAGGACATTCAGTTGGCATTCAAGGGCCTATGAACGCCAGCTGATTAAGGGCAAATTTAATGATATATGTAAGTTCTTCACATTGAATTTAATTATAAATTAGTTGGTATTCATAACGTCTAGTAATGCCAGCTTAAATTTATCATTTTCAATCATCATGTTTACATTACTTACAATACTCTTACCCATCTGGCAGTTCATAAACTGATAATACACAGATGACTTTGGTAAGGTTACACTGTAGCAAATAACCCTACCATGGTAAATGCAATGCTATTAGTCCTGGATTTCTCTGTACCTATACAGTATACCTACTGTCTATCAAAAACTTTATTTATTCAGCCCTAGTGACATAATTCCCTGGGTAAGTCTTAGGTTTACATTAATATTCCCCGAGTTAAAAGTCCTGTTATATATCTCAATGTTATTTGATATTAATAAAAATGGATTGTACAGAATACCATTCTTTTCCAATGTCAGTAGAACTAAGAACTATGAATAATGAAACATACAATCATTTTATCCGTTGAGGTTTTTTGTCTACATCAATGTGACTTGGACAGAACTTGTGTACCTGAGAACTGAGTGTATAGGATAATTATATTGTTTATGACCTACAAGTACAGTTAATAGTTTACCTGGCATGCTGAAGATGTTCTCTGGAACCTTAGGCAAGTATTTACATGTAATCCACGCAGTAGACATGGTGATCACTGTCAACTAACACAGTAATAGTGAAAACAGGTGCACTTTGCTGTCTATCAGAACATATCCTCCACTATCAACACACAGTCAATCTACACTCAATGTCCCTTACAGATTAGTTTGTTAAGTCGACATGTTTGCCATTAAACACAAAAGACTTACATAATCCGTAAGTAAGGTCATTAATACATAATACTAAGGACACAAAATACAAATCCGCTCTGCAGTGTAAAATACTGCTCCAGACGTCCAGAACTAAAGCTATAAATAGGGCATTGTAACAGTTGACCACTATGGTCAGTCCTTGATGTAAATCAATCCCTTATGTATAAATTCTACACAGTTGAAAAGTCTTTGGATAAATCTACACAGGATCTAGAAAGTCCAAACTGCTATCTCAGTCTCCTTCACAGTGTCCAGTGTGTGTTTGAGAAATGTTGAAGCAGTAACTTCACAAAGTCTGACTTCATTTACATTATTCATGAAAAATCTACATGTACAATCTGGACGATAAAGAAAACTTAATGTAGCGTGAACATAAGAGGTCAGGAACAATGTAATCCGGACTATTAATGGTACTTAAGTACAAGTGCTAGAGTGGATCACTATAGCTGAACCATTTCTTTTCGTAAAAGAAAGAAGTCGTTCTAATTCAAGTTTGTTGTTAAGTGTCTGGAAATGGAATAGTATGATTATATATACAGTAGATATTCTATGTATGTCTCTGAACAATACCAAACAGATGTATGTACTGTGGTTTCTGTCCGTCAAGAAGTTTATGAATTGGTTAATTGATTATAATCCAAAGGTTCAATAGCTGGCTTTGGCAGTCTCTTCACCTGTACAGATAACCCAGCCACCTAAAACTTAATATCACACACAGGTGCCAAAATCAGAGAAACAAAACCCAGGTAGATATCGAGGTATTCTGTAGTATATGGTCCGAGTCTGTACTTTGTCTCTAACAGGTGGTCATTACACATGTAGGTTATGAAAAAACTCCTAGTGTTCTTGTGTATACACTTCACGACTAAACAGCACCACCAGCAATTCACAAGCTACATGACAGCAGCCAGAGGATACCATATTAGAGGTGAAAAATCTCAAGTTAAAAGCCCTCCAAGGTGTAGCTTGTATCAAACTCTATTTCTTTTTTCAGATAGTCTCTCAAAGATTCATATATTATACCAGTTGGAAGTCACTGATTTTCTCCTCAAGATATAGGAACTGTTGAGACTCTTAAAAGTCCATAAAACTCTCAAAATTATTCTCAGAAGAACCCACTAGAGTTTAGGAATTGGTCATTCATGTTTGCTGAATGTATGGTATTAAAGCGTCCTGTCAAACCATATCAGTGTATAATTCCTTTTAAACAGGTGTTGTTAATCTTCATTACTCCCGGCTACCATACAACACTGTTTAAAACTTCTTAACAGTTCAAAATGCAGGTCCACACTTAAATGTATCGACACTGTTGATAAGTAATATGTGATAAATCGCTGTCGAAGACAAGGCGACGTATGTAGGTACCATATGCTGTCTGTGTTGAATCATTGGTGTACTATTGGTCGGCCTGGCGCTAGGCCCTTAACTAAGTAATCCTATATCAGTCGTGTGTATATATATATATACATTAATACTCAATACACAGGACTGCAACCAACGGGTTTTTGTGTATTATCTAAATCTATAAGCAGATTACCTTTCAGTATTTAAACTAACAAGGTTTCTTGTTTGATTTACACTGTTTTTTTTAAGTCTTTACGTCCATATTAAGCCATTCTCACCATTACGATCCAGTTTAGCAATGGTTTACCTGACTACGGCACAAATCAAATATTTTTTTGGTGACAAATTCAAACAATTACAAGGTCATAACATGTAGCTGTGGCTCAACCTATAAAAGAAATGTGAAAACAGTGAAAGAAATTTATCTTTCTCTCAATATCAAGAAAGAATTGCTATTTAATGGCTGTTGAAACTTTCAAAGATTTCAATTACTGGTTGCTATGGACAGGGGGAAAATGTAGACTGGATCTTCTATGGAAAGCAACTTGGGTGGTCAGGTGGTGCAGTGAACCTCACTTGCCTTCTCCCTATCATGGTTTGATTTCCCAATCATATATGAAAAAGCATGTGGTCACCTGCTCAGTAACATGGATTTTCTTCAGGAATTTTAAGTTCTTCTCATACTTGAAGACCCCCCTACATGTTGCCATCTCAGTCAACAAAAGTGGCTGATAAAATTTTATAGAATTAACATGTTTTAAAATTGATCTACTTCCCACATTGATTATTCAATATAGCAGCCAGAATAACATAGAGACATTAATATTGAATGCAAGCCAGGAGATAATGCTATCTGACCACTCTTAACTAATGCCACTGTGGCCAGTTGGTTGAGACGTTTGAACACCTCTGGGTAGGGGGTTTCAGGCCTATGTGGGGCAGTCACCAGATACTGGCGGCAGGTCGGTTTTTTTTTCTCCGGGAACTCGGAAAACCCTCCACCCAAACCGAGCCAATCATCAATCACATGCCCCTGGCTGTTAATAGGAGATAAAGCAACAATAAACAAACAACAAACTAAGGTCTCTTTTAAGTAAGAATATGGTCAGTGACAGAAACTGACCAAGGATTGACCAACAATCATTAAAAAAGATT